ATGATTTTACATTTGTTTTTATCTTTAATCTTTTTAATGCGCTATGATTATTTTATGATTATTTATGATTGTAATCCCTTGTGTGATTTTAATTTTTTACGGTTTTTAACTACTTGTGTAATTTTATATATCTTGTGCTCTTAATCTGTCTTTTTATGTTTACTTAAATTCTAATGTTTGATGATTTATGCATGATGTTATATGGGTTGTGAGGCGCTTTGCGTTGCCTTGTGTAGGAAAGGCGCTCTATAAATAAACGTTGATTGATTGATTGATATTATTGAATCTGCTTTACCCTTTTGCCTGAAACAATATTGCATTCTCTCTTCTGATGTTTTTCATAAACGTCAGTATTTCTCCTTCACCCTCATTCCTGCATAAGAATCTCATTATATTTGGTCTAATCCTTACCAACTTGTTGATATAACATATTGCTTAGAAGGCTACACATTACTTATATTAATATTACAGTATACCGGGTCTAATTGCCATGATCAAATGTATATTTAACTCCCACCTGCTGCTAAGAAAATTATTCTTTTATGTCTTCAACAGTTTAACAGTTCTTTCCCGTTTACTCAAGACATGCATCATTTATAGATGTTATAAAAGTAATATTTCAGCCTCAATTCATCCATTATTACACACTTCTACATCTATAAATTTGTTTTGTCGTGATTCATTTTAGAATAGTTTGTTTTATATGTATGACAAATCTTTTCACACAGTAAATATTCACTCGGTTTTTACCCTAACCCCTGATAATAAAAATATGTTTTAAACACATTTATTAAAAGAATCCAAAATGTCCAGGAGCATGATTTGATCAGCAATTTGTGTAGGTTTTTTCCGGGTGCTCCGTTTTTTTCCAACTAAATACTGGAAAATACTTAACAAATTATGTACAAAAAAAATTAGATTAGATTTAGATTTCAAACAAGCCAGAATAGCCTCCAGAGTTTAAAAATTGTTGCCCTTTCCCTCTCCGAACAGGCTGTTCCCATATGCAATGCGATACATTGAATACAAAAGTCATTACTTACATGAAATCGTTTGTTCATTATGCATATAGACTATTTTCTTTCAGACTCTTGCAGAGCGTCTTTCTAAAGAGGGTGTCCTTGCTGGGTGCAGTTAGAAACGGCTTTATTTGTACGATAGACAAAGCAGCCGAAAACTCATTACACTGTGTTTGGATTAGGCAGCATAATAACAAGGACATGGCAGACATAGCGCTCCAGGCATTTCACAATAGCACACACTAACTTTTTATTCACAAGTGTAAGGAAGGGGAAACTGCACATCCACATTTATAGAAAAGACTCCAAAATTTTCATGAGCAAGATATAAACAGCAATTTGCACAATCTTGATTGTGAATCTCCTAATAATACATCATGTTTATTCCAAACAGAAAGTCTCGTTCAAAAAATTGAACAAATTTAACCACAACTCTTTCTTACTTGTTTTTTCTAAATATATGTCCGAGGCCAAACACACATCTGAAAAGTTGTGATAGAACCAAACTGTTTAGGAATTTATTACACATTGTTTTAGGGATTGTGTTGCGGTTTGAAAGTCAGGTACCCTAGCTTTAATAACTACTTTTCTCTTGTGTGTATACAAGGAATTTAATCTAATTTCCTCACCTCAATTTTTGGCATAATGAATATACAATAATCTATTACACCATTTGTTTTTTAAGTTAAAAGTATTTAAGAAAACAAAGTCTGTTTCTAACATTACTCCACAGCCTTAAAAAAAAAAAAAAAAGACCTCACATACTTTATCAGCGTTGTGGACTTTTTAATCTGTCAAAGATGAAATAGTGTGTCCTCGATAGCAAACGGCGCATTCCAGAAACTCTCCAAACAATGACAAAGCTCGTGCATTAGCTTTGTTTATTTATGTAATTCTGATTTATGCCTGGACAAGCCACGTAAATACGGGCCATTTTTAGACACGGCTTCTGCATTTGAAGGCCTTTCCATCCTTGCACACAATAAATTATCTTTCAGAAAACAGTAACAGGCCCTTTAGCAAGATAATGTATGAGGCTTTTACTCCGGAACTAGTTCATTTGTCCAACTGGACAGTAAATACCTACTTGTGGGGACGTTGTAAAAAAGTATTATTCACTATAAAGCCCATTTTCTCAAAAAGTCCAAAAAATTATATTTTTATGGATTTTTACTGAGCAACACTTCCCCTTCTGTCTCATATTGAGATTTTAAATATACTTAAAATGTAATACCTACAGTAGCTATTATTACTTAAGGACAGAACGCCTTAAGTGCAAAAGAAAACATTTTTGATTCCAAAGTCCTTTTTTGTCATCACAAAGAGACGACAGCAGGTTTAGGTCAGTTTGGGTTGTGTGTGTGTATGTGTGTGTGTGTGTGCTCTTGTCCTTGTATCTCCTCACCTTCTCTGCTGCCATGTTTTGACCGGTCATTTTTACAAACTCCTCAGTTTAAGTGTTGCATTCACAAACAAATCCCCCTGCTTTGACGTGCCAATCCATTCTCCCCCCTCTTTTTCTCTACACACGGCCTTGTGTCTTGGCATTCTCGTCCGTCCTCCCCTTTGCCATCAAATACCATCTCTTTTAGACACTCAGGGAACTAATCATTTTCATCAAAGCGTATAGGCAATACAGACAAAATGGCCACTAATTGAATACGTTTCTCAGCATGCTTGCTCCTTTAATTTCTCTTTTTCTTGTAATCGTCTCTACAACTTGAGACCACACTTCCCATCACCCTATCTTACTCACTACCTGCCCCCTCCAAAGCAAGGCAATGGGGCTACAAATATATAACATTATGTGGCTTTTTGCTTTGCAGGAAGAAAGTGAGTTAACTCCTTTTGGTTTTTACAGCCATCCAGAGACATACCATTGTCAGACTTTCATTTCAAATTTTAATTATTTTCACTTTTTCTTTCTGATGTCTTTACCCTGTCACATCCTAGCGCTTTTACAACTAATGTTTTAAGTTCACACACCACAGGAGTATTGCAGCTTGGATTCAATTAAAACTGGGCAGTACTGTGCAAAAGTTTTATCATAGCCATGTACGTATAAAAAAATTAGTAATTTTGTGTCAATTTTACATCAATACCTGATTCTGTTTATCTCTATGCTAGCCAATACTAACTATTCACAACAGCGATCACACCCTTGCATGTTGTTGGAATGAATTGTCTATAAAAGGCATTTTTTAAAAGTCTCTTTCTAAGACTTTTACACAGTACTGTAGTTTTGGGGGTGGTTTGGTGATACGGGTGAAACTTTTTTTTGATCCAAATAAGCAAATTGACATGTCATGGAACAACTCCAACTCCTCCCCTTCTGAAGGATGGCTGCTGGCTGCCCATTGGACTGGACATCACCACGCCTGTCTCTCCTTTTGTATCATCTTTTCCCCATCTTCTACTAACCCTGTCTGCACTACCTCCCACACAGACAGAGGGCGCACTTGTCGCACATTGCCGCAATCGCTGTGAGTGACGGACCGCAACCGGCCTCATCTATCTCAATACGGGGGTTGCTTCATATCCATTGACATCCATCGGCGCGGGGAGAGTAGCCGTTTAGTGGATTATTGTTTCGCAAGGGGATTTTAGCACGGCTGGTGGGACTATTCAACACTCTGCTCGCCTCTACCAAGGGGTTTGCTAGAGTGGGGATAGGGTGGGGGTAAGCAGGGTAAAAGCGGTGTAATAACCCAGCCATTCGATCCCGGCTAATGTCACTGACAAAAAGCCCTCTCCACTCTAAGCATATCATGTTCTATTTAATTTGCTCATTCACACGCTCCCTGTAAAAGGGTGAAAAAAATACTCAAGCCATGCATCTGATATTTGACACAGGCGCTTGGTCTCACGATAGCGTGTATCGCCCTACTTCGTCTTGTCACTCTCCATGTGTTCCTGCCATGTATGCCATTCCCCCATTCCAGTCTTTGCATACATGAAATCTGGTGATGGCATGCCTCTTGACGCAATAATGTTTTAATCTTATGTTTGTTTGTTTTTTAAATCTTTTTTGGCCTAATCCTGTCTGTTACATTGTTTGTTACAGATGCAGCACAGTAGTTGTGGGATAGACCAGTGGTTCTCAAATTTTCTCAGCATTTGAATAAAGCAGGACCTCATTATTATGCTGAATGCCGGCAAAGCGAGTAAACAAGGCTATTCTCTCCTAGAACATTAATAACTTGGATTTCTTAATTTCAATGGTTTCCAAAGACTGTGTTTTCTGTCCACCATTTGGCATACATCTCATTTTAGGAAAAAAAATGTGTCAATGAAAAGGAAAATGGCTTTGATGGCTCATTGGTAAATTATCTGTCATGCAAAGGACTGCATGAAACAGGTTAAATCAAATTCCAATTTATTGAATTTAAATGTGTCTTGTTCCAAGGCTAGAAAATCTGTAATAACAAATACATTATGTTTCACAAATACTTTAAATGTCTTCAATTAAAGGAATGTGTGTTAATTTCTAGCAGAATACCTATCCTAAAGGGATTTTTTAGTCTGAACTAGTCAACAATAGTTACAATTATTTTATATTAGTAATCTGGACTCAAGAAGTTTCAAGCATGATAATGTTTTTCATCCTTTCTTTTGGCATTGTAATAAAGAATGAATCCCTTTTAAATTAACTAGAATCGGGAATAAACGTTCTATACAAACTACTGAATCTAAATATAAACTTGGCAATGTTGTTTTCAAATGCATACCTCCCCAAAAAAAGTGAACCACAAAAACAGATATATTTTCATTCAAACCATAATTTGAGAACCTCTGTGCTAACCTTTTACATTTCATAGCCTTGTCAATCTCAATTTTCTTTGAATACCTCGTAACATCTTTACTCCCTCACTGTTCTGCCCAGGTGTGTCATTAGCGCCATTTTGTCTACATTCTAATGTCTTCCTGTTTTCTCACTTCCTCACACGTGACCTCTGTGTGCTGTCCTGATTGGTCGGTCAGGTCTTCGGGGGAAACGCGGAGTGGCGAACCGCTGGAGCTGAACATGAGTAACATCACGGCAGAGGTCCTGGAGCAGCTGCTTGAATTTGTCTACACCGGGTCCCTGGTCATCGACTCTGCCAACGCCAAGACGCTGCTGGAGGCGGCCAACAAGTTTCAGTTCAACACCTTCTGCAAAGTCTGCGTCTCCTTCCTAGGTATGAGCTAATCGTCATAACGGGTTTTGTAAAGAAATGTGACGATTTACACAGCACTTTATGACAGGGTTCCTGAAGGTTCTTAAAGATTAAATACCTGAAAAATACTTGAGGTCAATAGCAGGCAACGTTTGGAGTTAAATTGATGTCTATGAATGTCAATGGCAGTGAATAGGTTAAAAAAAATACTAAATATTTTCTTTTTGAGCTGAATTTTGATTACTTTAAAGTTCAAAGTTATCTTCATTGTCCCACTTGGGGAAATCGTTTTTGCAGCAAACAATCATCTAAAAACAGGCCGACACAGTAAATTCACAACATTGAAGATAACAAGAACAAGAGAGATTGTCACAGAGCTAGTTTCAGTGGAAATGTGCTGTAAAGTGCAACAGTTTGTCTATGAAGTGCTACTGTATGTGTTGTTAAGGGGCTTCACAGCTGTTCGGATAAATGTAGTTCCCGACCTTTTTGTACCGCACCCAGGGGGTTCAAACTCGTCCCTCAGGGGGTGGTCCAAAGAACCAATGATATAATTAGCCTTTCTGAGAACCTGCTTACCTTATGGGTATGTCCAACCCTCATGGGCTGTGTCCAGTTTCATTGCAAAGTCAATGACCGTCTATGGTTTAGACACGTCTTTTTGGTTTGATAGCTTTTAGTGGATAGCATAGACTGTAGTGGATAATAGCAGTGACACAAATGTAACGTAATAGTAACAACTAACATAATAAGTTACTTTCTTTAGAGAGTATCTAAGTAAAGTAACAGGTTACTTTTTGTTAAGTAATAAGTAACGAGAAAAGTTACTTTTTAAAAGTAACTTCTTCAACACTTAAGGGTTATTTAGGGTATTTGTTCTACTTTTAATCATTGTGGTGGGTCAATTTGACCTGAAGATAGGACAAGGGTTAAATCGGCATGGCCACAGAAAACCTATTCTGGTCAACCTCTAGTTACAGGAGCATCTTTATCTGGCAATAATGCTTCGCTATTTTTTTCAATTTTTACAAACCAAATTGTATGCTGGTTTGCAATCTCAACTTTACGAGTTTTGAAGGTACTCAACGGACTCAGGAGTCAGACTTTACGCCAACAAACCCATTTGGGAGATCTGTTGTCCAAGTGATTTTGAAACCAATAATGAATATCCTGTCAAGTATTTCAATGTTCTACAAGACATAGAAAATTAAATCTGATAAGTCAAATATACTGTAAAAGTTGACATTTCACTGTCTCCAACCTCAACTGTTAATCTTCAAACTCGTCTGACATTGGAAACTGCAGCTACACTATTGGAGTGTGCTCAGAAGTTCCCACACAAACTTGAAAATTAACATATTTCTTGTCATGTAAAAAATGCAGAGGAAATATGTAGTCATTGACATATACAAAATATTCTGCATTGCGAACATTTCAATTCACTGAAACATAAAATACCTTCATAGATAAAAGGAATAACACTGTCTGTACCTTTCAATGACATTCCTTTTACATGTTGGCATGTTACTCATTCGAGTTGGAACCGGCAATATTTCTATCTGGCTTTGGCTGCATGGGAGAGGCAGTACAAATAACATGCTTGAAAGTCTGCATAGTTTAATTTGTTTTGTCTTCTGATGGTTTGCCCTGGTGTTATATGGAAAATGAACCCTGGATATTCTCCATCTATGCTCAATGCTGGTGGCTTTTAACTATGGTGCATTTTTTTGGGTAATGGGGTATACCGGAGCGCCAGGGGCAAACCCACCCAGACACAGAAAAAAAATCTTTTTTAAGCTCCATTCTACCTCAAACTTGGTACCTGTTGACCAATTCTTGAACTATTTTAAGATTTTAATGAGAAAAGTCTGCCCCTTTAACATGCATTTATTAAGACCCACATCAACCACTAGATTTTGTTTCGCTACTATTTTTTTATTATAATATATTCTTTATTCATTATATATAAACTCCTTACAAAAATGGGTCAGTTTTATAGTTTTCAAAAAGGATGGTTCAACATAAAAGTATTGACTCAGCCATGGACTTAGATCAAACAGTTTCCAAAAGATGTGTGTTATTTCTGCTGACCCCCTCAGCATCTGAAAATGCACTTAGGTCTTTTATTGTATGCAATAATACCAACTTCTCACTATGCTCCAATGTTACTAATACAAGACCTCAATGAATTCGCCACCTCCCTTGATCTTCACTCTGCGGCCGGTGCTTGTAAATCGCGCAATGACGTAATCCTATTGGACAGAGCCGAGGGGCCGACTTCTAAAAAGGTCACCCCACTATTGTCACTTAAATGTCAAATCCTTTGGCCTGCACTGTGATGCCACCACAAAATGGCAAAACGAATTGATACATACATGCAGACATGGAAAGCGGGTCCAGGAATCTGAAAAATAAGGTTGGTTGGAAGCCCGCAGGGGTCGTATGAAAAGCAAATGACCTGTTTTCACAATGTAATAGGCTCAAAGCAGCAAAGGTTACGTTTAGCATTGGGTTTTGTGCAATGTTTTGGGTTTCCGCCGGTAAAAAGGTCACCTGGACTTCGAAGCAGGAGCACGTCAGAGCGGCAGGAACATTATTGATTTATTTTTTACCATTTGGGCACAGACACAGAGAACAGGGAAGCCATTTGTAGACTTCATTTCCAGCGCAACGTCAATCTATTCCTTCCCCAGCGACAAGATTCATGGCATTTAGGGGCATTGGGAAAGGTGTCCTTGAGCACAGAGAAATGGATACGGTGTCAGGCGGCCTATTGAAGTGTGGAACAAATGGGCAAACATCTCAACAACCTAATTCTACTGGCTACGACTGCTGCTACAAGTGTACAGATACAGTACATACATAGATTGTACCATGTTAAAATCACCATTCGAAAATCACTAAATAACACGGACCAAGAACTATTACTTTGAAGATTGGGCCCTAGTGGCACTTCTGTTTTGGTTTTGACAAGTTTATTACTTTTTCTTTGCCTTTTTTAGGCTTGAATTGTTGTCTAGTTTGACTTGTAGCATATCTTCTGAGTTGGACAGATTTTTTTAACACAATATATATTCTGCAAACTACCAAATTTTACAAGGAGAAACATGAACATGAAACAATGCAATGTAGCAGACAGAAGTAGGTTTTGACTGTAAACAATTCTATGTATTACTTTTTAGCCATTAAGAAGACCACTCTATTTGTTTTAGTATGTGTAATAATATCATATTATAATACAAGTTGAAACACATGGTGAAACAAGTATGAAGGGTTAAAAAGATCATTTTGCCTATAACTCCCTAGTGCTAGCATACACCATAGAGGGTTGAAGTAATGATATTAAAAAAAATTGCAAGATTACAGGCCTCAACCACTGTCAGGTGATTGTAAAGAACATAATTTCACTTTAGAGATTGCTGAAACTAATTTATGAACCCTACTTTTGTTAAAAGGACAAAAACGTGATGTCATAGTTACAATTACATTATACTATTACAGGACTGAGGCATGAGCTTTTAGACGGAAAGGGCCGAATATCATGTTTGCGCCAGAATTCCTGATTTTATTCCTGATTTTATTCCTGAATTAATCTTTAAACAACTCCAGGTTTGTTTTTGGATGAGGAAATATAACATGGTTTAAAGGCCACAAAAAGTCTATCTGTATGATATGTCTTCTTTAAATAAAACTATGTAAATCCATAGTTTCTGTAGGTTTGGTCTGGTAGGTTTATAGTAATCAGTTCTTGTTTTCACCAATTTAATTATTAACTGTTGGATTTACCCTCAAACCAAAAATATTAAAGTCAAATACAGAAATGTTAGTTATTGCCTGTGTATTTGCCTGCCCATTTGCCGGGTTCAGCGCTTCAGCAGATGTTCGCTGACCTTTGCGGCTCCTGTTTGTTTGGGAGCTGGTATTCTTGGACTGCGTTTCACTGATAAAGGCTCCGATCCATCGCGCTTGTTTAATCAGGACAGTGTCTGTGTCCAGCGCTTCTGCTCTGTACAAGCACAATGCAATCTCCCACGTTTGTCCATTTCCAGCTAGTTTCAAAAATCAAAACAAAGCAGCTTCAAAGTCCCACTAACCTTTGGTGTTGGCTGCGCAGGTTTTTTTGGGGGGAGATAGCAATGCATTTGTACAACGTCACAAATAGATAACTAAATCAGACAAGTGGAAGCTACTGTGTACGATTTGTTCTTGAGTATTATTTTGGTGCCATAGATAAGGTTTATACAATGTTCTTAGACCCATAACGTTACATTCACGTTCTTTTATGTCCTTTTAACAAATTCTAAATCCCTCTGTTTTATGACGTTTTCATAAAACAATGATTAAAGCAAAACCATCTCCTGTGCCTTGGCCATTTTGAGAAAATAGCCCAAAAAGTTCTTTTGCTGCAATGGTTCTGAAAGTGGGTTGGCAAAAATGATTTTATAGATGCCATGGAATTGAATTACAATTAACTTTATATTTGAAGAACAAATAGGTCAAATAACACAATCACTCAAACAAGCAAGATTGCAGTTAGATTTACGATATGGAAAGTGACAAAAAATTGGCAATGTGCGTAGTGCTCAGGCCTCCGAGCAAGAAAGTCTCCAGTTCAATTCATGAGCCACTCTCTGTGGTGTTTGTCTAGGTGGGTACCCAAAACATGCACCATGGGAATGTCTTCCTCCAGCATATATATTGAAGAATGGGCCAAATGTAGAAGTCAAATTTCCTTTCAGGGTCTAAAAATTATACATGACTTTCAATGTTGTTATTGCGAACCCCTCTTCTTGTAGTGAATGCCCATTTGAACCCCTTCTGTTGTCTTTCTTGTGTCTTTCCATCGCTGCTGTTGGCGAATGCAGAGAAGCAGCTCACAGCGTCGAACTGTCTGGGAGTGTTGGCTATGGCTGAGGCCATGAGCTGCACTGAGCTGCACAACATGGCCAAGGCCTACGCTCTGCAGAACTTCCCCGAGGTGAGCCTTCCAAATCCTCTTTATCAAATAACTTTACATCTTTTTGTTGTACATTTTTTAGTGTGCATTACTAGTTATAATATTAATTCACATGTACACCTTCTAAATTTGGTGGTACAATGTAAACAAAATGTCCATGTAATTATAGCATGGTTCTAAAACAGTTAGGTTCTTTTCACATGTATATTTTTTGGCCCCCCATGTCTCATCTTTAGATCAGCCTTTTCAGACAGAAAAGTGAAACAAAAGAGCTGCTCCCTTACTCCGCCAATCCCAGTCAAATAATCATCGCTCATTCTCTGTAAAAATATTTGAAAGCATGTTATATGATAAAATTAAGCTGACATGGTGGTTTGATTGTTGTAGAAATTTTACAAGACTCTTTCTGTTGGGTCAAGCAACATGTATCATTTATGAAAAAAGTCATAACTTCATGATCCAGTGCCTCTTTTCCTATTTAAAGTATTAAATGTTTAATATGTTCTATGTCTATTGGGGTGAAAAGATTTAAAATCTAATCACTGTAGATTGGCACATAAATTCCACCGGCTTCTACATCAGATGAGATAAGAGAAAGCAGTATTTGGCATTCCGACTTGCTGGTATTTATTTGATGGAGGAGTATCCTATTTTCCTATACCCCATAAAGAATGGTGTGCGTTGCTATCGTCTAGGTGGCAGGGAAGGAGGAGATCTTGAGCGTGTCCAAAGAAGACCTGGTGTCGTATCTGTCCAATGATAGTCTCAACACAAAGGCTGAAGAGCTGGTCTACGAGACGATCATCAAGTGGATCAAACAGGACTCCACCAGCAGAGTACAGGTAAGATTATTAATAATACACATGGTCTTGATACCCGAGCTCAGTAATACACTGGATCGGAAATCGGAATATTGTTGTGTGAGAAATGCTTTGGTTTTACTGAAAATAACTTTTGGTTATTCAAAATTGACCAACCTACATCTCAACATGTACCGAAGGTTGATTCATCCTCTCCACATTTAAATAAGTATAAAGGATCTCATGTGATTAGATTGTGTTAAATACAGACAATATCATTCATTAAAGCGCATGGAATTGTCACTGATTGTCTGAGCCTAAAATGACTTCCTGTTCCATTGAATCTTACATTTTCTACATTTGTGACTAGGATTATAAAATCAACCACCAGGACAATGCAATGTTACGGATATTGATGAAAAGTAGTTTAATTTCTTTACATTCTTGCTAATACATTGTTCAGTCTCTGAAATGCTCTGAACAAGTGCTCTCTGGATGAAAGTTAAAGGGAACTATCACACTTGCAGCAGATTTCAATCATTTCATTTGTGACACTGTGACCTCAGTGCCTTCACCAGATCTTTGAGACCAGTCCAGATAGGAACAGCCCAGGTGACCTAAAGCATTTCTAAATGAGTGGGTGGAATCCCAACCAAAGTAGGCCCTGTCCATTCTAGAATATACTATACTGTACACGTATGTGGTTAAAATATTAACACTCAAACAAATATAGACTTTTTTAACCACCACTACTCAACACAGCAGTGTTGCAGACTCATAATAGGCTGTACAACCTTAAGTGACAAAACCAATCAAGTCTTCTAATCCCCTGTGTTTAACTTTCGTATCGGCATTAGTTAACGTTAAGACATTCAAGCTCATGTCTTGAGGGCTTGGTGACCTATTTAGAAGACTTAAAATGTGACTTCAAGATCGGGCCTGTCACCCACGTCCTAACAGGTGTGATGCTTTCCTATGGCCAGTAATCTTAAGGGATAAGGCGCATGATGGATATTGACAGTGAGGAACAGCCTCGGACATCGGAACCAACGCACAATCGATTCCAGTCAAGGTCAGGCAGTGCAGAGCTAAATGTATGGACTGAGCAGTAGATAATAATCCATCTACAAAATAACAGCGTGACAGAAAGAGGTGCTCCGGGCCGGGTAGAAGGACTAGTGATACAGTTAGGCCTGCTGTTCACATGAGTCAAGGGTAGAAAAACAAGGCCACAAAACTGACATTTAAATGAACCATATTGCCCTTTCTCATGTAAAACGGAACGTAGGACCAACTTAAGTAAGTAATCTTTATTTATATAGCGCCTTTCACAGACCAGAGTCACAAAGCGCTTTACAATTGTTTTTTTTGGGCATTTGTCTTTCACTCCAGATGGAAGCAGGGTTGCCATACAGGAGGCACATGCCAGACCTATTATACATGACATAGGCATGATATGACATAACTTTCTCATATTATGCTCCTTGTATATGGAATGCTCTGCCTAAAGAATCAGTTTGTTTGTAGACTCTTAGGGCCCGGCCTCACTGCAAAATAGTTTAGAAGACACTTTGTGTGTTTCACAAACACCTAATTTTCTGAGACTGGTGAATTTGTCTGAGACTGGTGATTTCAGTAAAACTTCCCTCAACTCGACTGGGGATTACAGGAGAACGAAACGAGCAAGATGAATTTGCTGATGAAAGTAGACAGTCCATTCTTTCAGAATCTCAGATTTCACATAGTCATTGTACAAATCTGTGAAAATCATTAAAAACTTCTGGCAGGCAATGAGTTAAATGTGTCTCCACCTGTTACATTTCTTGTTGTAATATGACATGTCTATATACTGTATATAGAATCCCTTCCTTCATTCCTTTTATAGACAGTATTATAGTCAACTAGTAGCGGTCAATGGATCTCATGTTAAGTATCAAAACTAAGATAAACCGCTTACATTGAAAGGTTAATTTGTGAATGTTCATTTACTCTGCTGTGCCTGCAATTTGTTCACCTTCGCGATCGGACAACCCCAAAATGCTTTAGATAGGGAATAGTGTGGACATTTGGACAGCACTCTTCACCAAAGTCCTCAATATTGTACTTGCAAAAACACAGGATCGGCCTAAATTGCACATGGGGATGACAGTAGTTACACTACTGTAACCATACTGTCACGGTCACAATTGCAACTTCTACATTCAACAACTCAATTCAAGACAATATATTTTTTAAAGGCCCAAATCACATCTGCAGTCTTGTGAGATTTCATAACACTTTTAAGCAACTTTTGTTAAAGTTAAACTCATCATTCTATCATTGTGCAGAAGCCAGTACTTTTCCCCTGTTTTGTCTATCTGAAGGCCAAGCTACATGGCACCGTGGCAGCTGCTGATTGGAGGTCTCCATGCCTCCGCTCTGTATAATACACTTGCATTCTGTTGTTCGTGTTGTTCGTGCTGTCTCTACCATCGACAATAAAACATGTCTTCTGTCTGAATTTAAGACACGATCCCAGACTTGGCTCATCTTCTTCAGTCTTCTCTGAGGCCTTTACAAAGTTGTGGATTCACCAACAACAACTGTGCATCTTATTGTGCTTTTACCATCACTATTTCAAGCTTCTTTCTACAATACCATTTCCCCACACCTTGCCAAACTCCAAAAACATAAACGTGCGATTATTATTATCACAGAAACCATTCATTCAAACACTCACAAAGTCGAAGTGGCGCACTATTTGTCACTTGCGCACCTCTTCTATCACTTTCCTTGACACACGCCTCGCCGCGCCTGGTTGTTTGTGGATTGCGCATTCATCCTCTGATACGTAGCACTCAAAAGATTAGAGGGAAATCCATCATGCCAATAAACTGATTTGTAGTGGCGGATTAGCATGAGCGCTGCACAAAGAATTTTGCTCAAACAACAAGCAACAGTTGGGGAGCATTTGCGAAAGAGGCCATGTCAATAATAAAAGAATAGGATTTGCACGCTCCGGGGCTGGGGATGGAGTGACACGCTTTGCATTGAGGTAAATCCACTCAAAAATGCAGGATCGGTATAAGGTGGCTGATAGGAAATTTTCAAACGTGAATTCAACCGCTGCTAAAGTGACTCTTATAGCAAGCCGCGTATGATTGCAAGCAGTTTTTGCAATACTTCAAAATGTAAATGGATTTGTATTTTTTGGGGCTTTTTATCATAGAGAAGTCCTGTTGGGAAGTTTTCTATCCTCAAAGGCCTTGAATACTTCTACTCATATTGCATTGCTTTTGCTCGTTGATTTGCATGTCGACAAACTGTGGAGCCCTGAAATGTAAAAGAAATGGAGGTTAAAGTAAGGGTAATGAGAAAGAAGGAAAAGGTAGGGTATGTCGAATTTGTATTTAGAATAACACAAACATAATTTATCCAGCTGTGCTTCCTGGCATGGGGTGAAGATGTTCAATCTAATATCTTTTACAACAATAATAATGTGTTTGTTGACTGTACAACAGGCTTTAAAAATAAACGCAGTAACCAAATAGGTGTTTTCTTGATACCAAAATTGTCATTAGTCAAAGACAAATTACCCATCATTTACCTGAATGAAGCACAAGGAATATTCCCGCTCTGACAAGGTTTTTTGTGTACCTTTTATTTATCTAGGAAAGTCCCATTGAGATTTCTGAATGGCAGCTTCTGAGCGCAAGTTTTTAGTTGTAGGGGAAATGGTAGCACCTGGAGGAGACCTTACAAAATTTTGCAGAGAAAAGATTATAAGAAAGGCCTTGCGCCAACTAGAATTCAAACCTAGGAGCTTCTTGTTGAGAAGTAAGTATGCTAACCACTCTCAGACGGTCTGATATTTTCCCATCTTGGACCGTTGACAATTGGTCCGCAGCGTGTATCAAATTTTATATCTTTCCTTGGTAAAAAAGAAATAATGAGCGATGACGGGGAGCATTCTCCCAGTGAATTCTATTATCCGGACAAGTTTGAAGAGCCAGAGGAAGTAATAACAGCAAATAACGACGAAAACACAACTCCTAACAGTCAAGAAGAGATTGACAACTTCGTTAAAGACCAGAAAGGTAAAAACACGATTAGGAAAACCAAGTCAGACATGAACATACTTCACAAATATCTAAAAAGCATTGGTAAAGACACAGAAGAGATTGAGAACTTACCAGCGGACAACCTCAATCATCTGATAAGTTCTTCATGTCACCATTTGACAGTTTGGTTGCATGTGTTTTTGCTAGTTGAAACCGATCGATATTTCCACAAATTAAAATTGGTCATATAATAAAACATTTATTAACCTCGCTTGCTCGTTTTATAAGCCGTTATTATTTTTTTGATGGAACAGTGGAATGGAATGAAGATTTGGGATGGATTTGGTCACCCCCCTTATTGTCTACTAACCCCCCATATGTACCCAAAAAGATGCGCTTAACGTAATATACGCGCAACGTTGGCAGGAGACGTACAAAGAAAGAAAAAATTACCATAGGTACTCATGAGAGAGGCTTTTTTCCCCGTCTTCTTTGCAGTGATAAGACAGGATACACAAGGTTGATGAGTAAAAAATAGGACTTCATATATTCATACTGGTGCATAATGTAATTTTGCCTGTTATTCGTGCATATTTCACTGCCACGTAAATTGTTTCATCATTTCATTCCAATGAAAAGCTACTTTTGCGAGTCCACTGCATACATGCCAAAGACATGCCAAAGACGTTGGGTGTAAATTTGACAGTCTGAGTTGTCTCAAAAACATAATCAGCAATATGGATTCCAGTTTTGTTACGGTATCAATGGGCTTTTTGCAAGGGTTGAAATAACACATTGCAAGAAAATGAAAAACCAACCACTGTAGTTGTCAAAGTGGCTGATGTCCTTTGTGAATTTCATCCCAAACCATCACAATGCACACTTTCATTGTGACATATGCTCCCTGTCCGTGGGGCTTGGAAACCCTGCGCCGCCATATAATCTCACACTCTAATGGAGAGTTGCAGAGGTGACTGTCCCATATGAAGAAATTGAACCATT